ATAGGAAAATATATTATTGTGATATATTTTTCACAGATCTTATGATATTATTTAGGAGAAAATAATATATCTTTTGTGATATTTTAAGATACATAGAATTAGGTTAAGTATTGAAATTGAAATATTATCTTATAAGGAAGTTTAGGGTTTAGAGTATTTACGAATGTTATGTTGCTATTATAAATAGCCTATTGATGATCAATAATAATAAGCCATTCTATTCTCTCTTCACCCTAATTTGTCATGGTATCAGAGCTCAGGTTGGGTTGTGTTGTAATTTGGGCCAGTATTATGGACAACTCACATGTGAGGGGGAGTGTTGAGCCCATGAGCAAACCCACATGTGACTGAAAGTATTGTTCCATATTGAAAGTGTTGGAAAGTATCCCATATTGAAGAAACAAGAATGTTGTGTCTACTTTATAAGGCTAAGGGGCTACTCCCCTCATTGTCATATGGTTTTGAGGTGGAACCTTCTTGTACTTGTACAGTGAACACTTGTGACGGGTGTGGCCAGGCTCGTTTATCATTTGTTGACAGTGGCTTGACTCTCTTTCTAATTGCAGGTTTTACTGCAATGTTTGCAACTCTAGCTCGCCGAGATTTTTGCTAAAGGTTGAGCCCAGCGCCCCAGCTTCTCCTACCAGTGTGCTATTTTCTTCAAAGTTGTCAACTTGTATACATCTTGTTAGAGGACCAACTCAACCAAAAGTTTAAGATGATGGTTGAAACCCATAAATAAGTTTTATAATCTATCACGCCCCCTCACATGAGAGCCCATTGAGCTTGAAGTGTGGATGCAACATGAGCCCCACCATACCTAGCGTTTAATATTCAAACCCGTGACCTTTGTGTCACGCTGGTTCTTGATACCATGTTAGCGGACCAACTCAACCAAAAGCTTAAACTGATAGTTGAAGCCCAGGATCGATTTATATACTCTATCACGCCCCTTCACATGAGAGCCCATTGATTTCTGTAAAACTATTGTTCCAAACAAAACTTAACTAGTGTATGTCTCAAAAAGGGTTTGGGAGTTTGATAGGCTAGCGCTGTAGGATCGGAGTAATGATGAACGATGATTTATTATACTAAGTAATTCATATATGTTAATGTCGATTTCTGGCAACTGAATGAGAAGAGTTTGTATAAATTTTCAAAGTGAAAATAAAACCGATAAAACTTACGATATGTTATCTAGTCACAATCTATGTATTGTTACTGTTCGAAAAATTTGTCCTACTTTGTAAATTGTAATTATGAGACTTTGTTATATGTATGTATCTACAATCTTGTGTACTTAGTAATCAAATTATGAAAGTTTCTGAACTTCAATGTTGATATAACAGTTTAATTAAGTTTTCTGATTATGATTCTTGAAATGTTTTATAGCGCATAATATTGTACATGGTCTATTATATGCAGGTTCTAAGGCATCGAGAGAATGGTGATGGATTCAGCAACACACGATTATGTGCTATACCACACCTATCATGATTTTGATAAGGAATGCAACTTGAAGATGGAAGAAACCCTTTATAAGTAATTTGTATATATATGCAACTATTATGGTGCATTACCAATTCCTCTAAGAGCTTCAATAATTCAATTCATATATAGTGCATGGCCTTCATGCACATTAGTAATACATGCTTTATGTGTCCTCAGACTTTCATGCATATTATGGCATATATAGCGCACACATTACATGTGCTAGTGTGTTTTTTGCACACAACTTATGTGTACTAATTGTTGAAGATAAAGTCCAGTTAGGTGTATGTTTGAAATTGCGAGACTTCATATAATTAGTTTTTACTACAATTTCATTAACATAATAAAATTAAGAATTGGTGTAACAAAAAAAATAATTAAGACTTGTGTTTCATGACTTTAAATCTTCGACCAGATCATCTAACTTATCCTTGAAAGGCCAGCAAAATGAAATGACAAAAATCATTTTTAATTTTTAATTTTTAATTTTTAATTTTTTAATGGAGTACTTGTTATGACTTTAGACATCTCTTTTTACTAATTACATTACTCAGTATTATGTTTGTTTGGATCCAATTTATTCCAATTAGGCCGGTCCATAAATGATTCAATTACAAAGCCCAAAAAAAGATTCAACTCTCCTAATACATGTCAAGTCAGTCGAAGGCCCGGCCAACATGGCAAACCCATTTGACCTCAAGGCCCAATTTATCCATTTGAGTAAGGTATATAAAAGCCTTGACTTCTCTCTCTCAATTCATTCACTTCAAGCCTCATGCATTAACTCTCTTGCATAGCTTTCTCTCTCTAAACACTGTACTGACTTTGGCATCGGAGGGGTCTTCCTCGGCACAACCCCCGAGGCCAGTTTACGTGTGTTTGCTGTGCAGGAAACCCTTGTCCCATTCATCACTTGGTCCGAGTCCAATCTTCAGCCTACAAGTAAGGTCTAGACAAAGGACCTATTGTTTTTATCCGAAACAATGTTTATAAGTAATTTCTTATATACATAAATTTCTACTGTTAGACCTCAATCACCCACTATTTCTTTTTTTAGTTGCAAATATGATGAAACATCCCTAACATAGTTGTCTAATTGCATATCCATGCAATTTTCGCCAAACATTAAGTTTTAGTGGTTGAGAGATATATATATTTTTTTTCTTCTCATTGTATGCATATGATCTGAACATATAAAATCTTGAAATTATATGAGCAAAATAGATAACATTATTTAGTTTTTTTTACCTTACATATATTTTGTTTTATTTTTATTCATTTATTTTGAATAAACATTACATGATTCTAAATTAAAATAAAAAATAAAAAAAAGACTATACACATGCAAACTTAACCCTACGTACCAAAATTCTTTTATCCTATACATCATTTTTTGCTACTTTCATATTCACTCTTTTATTCAAGTGATACACTAGCACTTTTCTCACATGCTGAGACATATGCTTGAACATTTGTGTAAATTTTTTATATAATTAATATTATGAAGAAATATATATTGTAACTTATACGACAATATATTACGGAGTATACAACAACATTATATTATTAAATATAACTAAAAAAATTAAGTCAAACCTAATATCAGTAATATGAAGTATGTAAAATAATTATAGTGGGATGCAAAATGTGATCAGAAGATGTGTCACTGAACCAGAAAAAGGGATGGAGTAATAATAACCAGAAGATCAAATCAAGATGAATGTTCATAAAGACTTATGTTTGAAAGCAACTTCATCGATACAATAAGTTACACTATATATACTCTTCTTAGTCCTTAAGGATTGTCTTATAAGAGCATAATATTTTGAAGTGTCCCTTTACATTTTCTTATACTTGTTTTGGCATGGTTTCTTGATTGTTCTTTAATATACTTTACTTTTCCTCCGTTTCATAATAAATAACACACTTTTTATATTTGGTCGATTTTTAATATTTGACACACTCCTAAGCTAAAAACAACTTAAGTACCCCTATATATTTTACTTTAATATATTTGCAAAACTGTACCCTTGTTTTTTTTTTTTTCTTTTTTTTTCCTCCTTCCCCATCTCTGTCCCACAATATAGTTCCTGTTTTTCTATTTTGGAGACCCAAAATGTTGTTCTTGTTTCTATTTCTGGATAACATGTAAAGACCATTATACCCTCATTTTTTTAACTTTATTCATTTAACTTTTTAATTTACCCTTAAATTATCCACTTGCATTGTACTTTTTTCCACTTTCTCTCTCTAACTTCTATCTATAATTGTACTTTTCACTTTTTTTTCTCTTAAATTATCCACTTGTCTAGCTTCTTTCCACTTTTAATGTACTTTTTCCACTTCTCCTCTCATTTCGTAAATATTGTGAAAAAAAAACACAATAGGAACTATATTATGAGATGAAGGGAGTATCATTCTATGAATAAAAAAGACTATCCCACCACTGTACTATATACTTCCTAATTGTTATGTACTTGTTTCTTGATTATTACGTTAAAAAAGTTATTCTCATTTGAAATATTTCTGTATATAGTCAGAAAAATTCCCATCAATTTTCTTATGTATGATCTAATGCAATTTGGTGAGTGTCCCAAAATTTTATTACTTTTTTCTCTCTTTTTATACATTTTTTAAAACAATTTTTCACTAAATAATTTTTTCCCTGCAAAATTTCAATTTATTTTAAACTTCATTCTCTTTTCTCAATCGCCACATTAATTACATTGTTTAGTTTCTTTCTTTCTTATTTTCCTTTTGTTTCGAAAAGCAGAAACATTAAGGTAAAGATTAAAGGCAAAATGGATAGAGTACTAATTACGTTGGTTATTACAAAACGCGTAGAGTATTAGCCGATCTTTTAGATATTTTTTATTTTTTATTTTTTGAGGGGGGGGGGGGGGGAAGACAGTTGGAAATTCAATTTACTCATTTGGCAAAAAATCACCTCAAAAAAAAAAAAAAGAAAAAATCACTAAAAGCCAAAAGTAGTAATAAATAGAATCTGCGTCTTCAGAGTCAAAAATACAGTTAGTTATACACACACTTCATTTCTTTCCCTCCTCTTCTGTTGAGCTCTCAAACCTCTTATCAATGGCGTTTACAATGACAACTTTCTCTCTCCTGAAACCACCCTATTAAAGAAAACCCTTCAATTCCTTCTCACAACTTTTATCATTTTCACTCCTTTATTATAATCCACACATTTTGAACACACAACAACCGAGAAACTTGAAAAATCCCAAAATTTCCTTCACTTTTGCATTTAACCTGGAATTATTCTGGGTTATTCATTGGGTTTTCGCTGTTCTTTACAAAATTTCGAGCTATAAATCTTTAAATTTCTCATAGTTTTACTCACATTGAGTTTGAATTCATACCCATTTTCCCCCTTCCCCTGTTTTTTCAAAATTTCTAATAATGGAAGCTGAAAACCATGGAAGTAAGAGATCTAGGGTTTCATTGTCCGGGATTTCCCGCCACAATTTGGGATTTCAAACCCACCCTTTATGGAATTTTCAACTGTGAAGAGAGTTCATCATTATGCTAGAGATTTTCCTCCTGGGTGTGGCTCAAATTCCCCCAAAACCAATCAAAAACCCTCTGAAAAACCTGCTGAGAGTGAGAAAATTCCTGGATTTTGCAGTAATTCCACTGCTTGGAGACGCTCTGTGCCTGCTGTGAGAAGTAAACCACCAATTGATGATGGGGTTGCTGTGAAAATCCCTCAGAATGTGAAGGGAAAAGCGTTGCCGGGTTTGGGTTTCGACGCATTTACTGAGAGAAGTGCAGGAGATAGGAAGAAGGAGAAGGTGGATGAGATGAAGAAATCCCAGAACATTTCTAGGGAAAGGGGGAAAGTGTTGGAAATGGTGGAATTGTTTAGGAAGAGGTGTAAGGAAATTTCAATGAGTGGAAGAGGAATTAGAAGGATTAATACAGTAGCTTGTGCTGAATTGAGGAAGGAAGGGAAGATTTCAAACCAATCTACATTGATGATTGGAGCTGTACCTGGTGTAGAAGTTGGTGATAAATTTCATTACAGGGTGGAATTGGCCTTTGTAGGGCTGCATAAGCATTACGAGCGCGATATCGATACAATGGAGTGGGGTGGAGGGAGATTGGCTACTTGTATTGTAGCTAGTGAGAGACATTTGGACAAAATGAATGATCCCAATGCTCTGGTTTACATTGGGGAAGGAGGGGTTTTGAGGCGGAACAAGACCGGGAAACCTCCTGATCAGGAGCTTAAGGGAGGAAATAAAGCTTTGTGGAATAACAAGGAAGAGAATAAGCCGGTTAGGGTGGTCAGGGGGCTTACATTGGATAGAAGGTATGGTCAAAAGATCTTGTATGTGTATGATGGACTGTATGAGGTGCAGACATGTATTAAGAAGAAAGGGCCAAGCGGGAACATGATTTACGAGTTTCAATTGACTCGGTGTGCTGGACAGCCTGCTGTTCCGTGGCAATCGTGTAGGCGGTACCAGTTTTGAGGGTTTAGATTGTGCTATTGTGCAGATTGGTGAATGCAATGGTTGAGCTTTTTGTTTACTTGTTTTGCTTCATTTAGGAAGATATTAGTTCCTTTAATTGTAGTTTGTTCTTGCATGATATATTCTTGATGTATGCAGCTCAAGAAGTATCATTGTACTGACATGATAGGCTTTCACACTTGTTGAATTGAAGCTAGTATGTGTAGAGACTGAAAAATGTAACTGTCAAGGTTTTTTGTAATACAGTGAATGAAATAGAAGGAGCTTCTTCATTGTTGATTACTTGATTCAGTTTTCAAGTTTATAATCTCGGATTCTTCTTAGTAATAATTTACACCTGTTTTTATTATTTATTTGGCTAGGAGGGTAACTGTAAAGAGGAACAGAGGGATAATTATGTGAAATACTGGCATAAAAAAAATTGAGGTAATTGTGCTACTTGTAAGCATTAGATCAAATCGAGCTCTGCATTAGCAATGATCATGTTCGCCATCATCTTCTGTGCTACTGCAGTTGGTAGGTATAAATTGTTGTTTTTTATGAAACATTATGCAAACGATGGAGCATTCTTCGAATGTGCCTCGAATAATTAGTATAGTATATTAGTATGTGACTGTGTGTTAGGGGGAAGAGGGGGGAGGGGGGGGTTTGTTGAGGTTGGAGATCAAGGGAGCTTAGAATAACAAAATGTGTTGTGCAGTAAAAGGTCCTGCACCAAATTCGTACATCAAAATACATTCTTTAAGTTGATAGCTTTGATTGATGCCCTGCTTTATTCTCCATAGATATTAGGCATTGGGCAGTTCTCTTTTTCATGATTTTCAGGTTATCACTTCCTTCCCTAGTCTATTTTACCTTCTTGTATTTAGCAGGAAAGTGAGATGACGGTGTCATCTGATACTTCGTGCTCTATATCCTGAGATATTGAGGTTAGATTCCATCATTCTGAGCATATACTTTTATAGTTTTGTGTTGCATCTTCCCTATATCAATTATTCTACCTTCTTGATTCCTTTGTGAGGTGAATGCTCCCGGAGTTGGCTTCTGTTTCTGCTTATAGCAATAGCTCTTGCTAGAACTTATTCTAATATTCTGTGCAGTCTTTGTTGGACGCATCATTTTATAGTTCCTTGCATGCATCATGAATAAAAGCTCACCTGTTTCTACTCACATAGCATTTAGGCACTGTTAATACTCAAGGCCTAGTTATGTTCTCAAGATTCAAACAGTTAAGAAATCCATTATCCTATGAGTTCAGATTCATTGAGATTGGTCTGTGGGATAAGTCGGATAACCATTTGGCAGGTTTTGGATGCAGGGGTCAATGGTTTCAAATCAGTTAATCACTGTGGCTTAAGTGCTTATATTATTGGGTCCATTCGTTGCATCGAATTCCTTTTCTCTACTATTTTTATATATGCTGCTCTCAAAATTGTAAGAGGGCTACCTTGATTCAGTGTCATTCAACCTAATGCGAAGAAGTTCCATTCTCATACAAGACAATTACTGCTTTTTGTTTACAATATTCATTCAACTCTACTGAAACCAATTATGTTGCAAATAGGCTAAAGACCCCAGTGTAAACTATAGTTTAGTTTTGGTGTTACATATACTAATTTTGTAGTTAGTATTTAAGATACAGCAAACTCTGTTGTAAGAACAGAGAAAGTAAAAACGTTAGTACAAATTGAAGGGAAAGACCACATTTCCAAATGGGATATGCTGATAGTTTCAAACCCAAATGCAAACTACTGTTTGAGAATAGGAAAAATTTTCCATGGAAGAATTGAAGTTGTTAAGGTGGCAGGCCTTTTTAAGTAGCTTAGTTTTACTCAATACTGTTGGTATCCATAGCAATCTGCTGTTTTTTTGACATGATTTCAACTCGGAATAGGACTAGAGAAAATGACTGCAAGGTGTAATCCCTCGAGGGGATGATCCGATAATGTACAGTATATGTTTGATCTGGTTGTAAAAAGCAATAGCCCATCAAATAATAGAGGAGAAGCACTTGAGAGAGTGATCTATATTCGATATATTATTATCCTAGCCTTTGAGTTTAGTACATATAAGAGCATAGATCTGTAATAAACGAACAAAAGAATTCTTATAGCTACAATATAATATGGAGAACAAATAATATTCACCTGAAAAATGTCTACACCCCTAGGAGGATGGCAGCTACATAAATTTAGAGGGGACATCAGACATGGTTATTATACAGATTAGCCATCCTAGGAAACATGCATTAGATGAAAATTTTACAAATTAAGTACTTGTTCTTGTTATAATGGCGTATCACTATGGAGCCAAAGAGCACGTATTAGAACTTGTAAAGACCTGAAGGATCTGCATTTTGTACTATCCAAGGATGTTCCAGAAGCTTGTGCAATGGAAGACGGTCTGCTGAGTCTTTAACGAGCATCTGATTATGATGAGGGTAAGAGGGGTCACTTAGATATTGCAGGTTTGAAAAACGATTTATCAGCACTATAAAATGATGCTTACCTTACTAATCAGGTCCTTTGCAGCTGAAGATACAATGGGTTTGGGGGGAAACTTTAAATCAACTAGCACAATCCTGCAGAAAGATGTGTTCTTTTTTATGTTAATGGGAGCTGATACAAGATTACTTCTTTCAAACAGACAACATTTATGTTCTCACCTCCTATATGTGTCTGAATGTTCTTTAGCCTCAAAAGGAGGGAAACCATACAGAAACTCGTAACAAAGGATGCCAAGGCTCCATATGTCAACACTTGCATCATGTTCTACACTCTCAACTGTCAAGGCAAATAGGAAGCACAAAATAAATCATGTGAATATCTAACCCAAAATAAACACTCTAAAAATTCTGCTGTAATCAAGATTGTTCACAGAATGCATACCCATCTCTGGAGGAAGATAGTCAAGTGTCCCACACATGGTCTTCCTGCGGTTAAATGTATGAACTGCCCAACCAAAGTCCGCTATCTTGAGTTCCCCCTGACAGAGTAAACCAGTACAATTTTCAATATTAGCACAAATCTTGCGGATATGGAAGCCTGAGGAAAACTAAAATGGAAGCCTAGTTGTGCTTGTCACCTGTGCCCCTATAAGGAGGTTCTCTGGCTTGATATCTCTGTGAATCACGTGTTTTCCGTGACAGTAAATAAGAGCCCGGGCTAATGATGCAATATACTGCAGACAAATGAAAAAGGTATAAAAGACACTAGTTAGCACTTTTGACATGCTGAATGAAGTGGCTTTAAATCAGTAGAAGTACAATTGCTGTCCTCTGTCATATAGCTATCGAACAAGCTTTGGAATTTTGCAAAAGACGTAAGATATGGTGTGTTGAACTCAACTCGAAAATTATGAAGAACAACATATAAGTCTGAGCTGGAATTGCTATCAGATCAGACATCCTAGAACCATTCCTACCAAGTACTTCAAAATTTTATTACATGCTATGGAAGTAACTTACAGTTGCTGCGCGCTTTTCACCAAAGTACTTGCATTTCTGAAGCTCTTTGTACAGCTCTCCTTTCGGTGCATATTCAAGAATCAGATACACACGTTTCTGCATAGATAATATATCGAGTCATTTCACCTTTGTATGGAACAATGTCTCATCTGAGCTAGCCAACATCATTACATAAACATAAAGCAGTACCTGATCATAGAAGTATCCATAGAGACGTAGTATGTTTGGATGGCGAAGATGGCTTTGAATTTCAACTTCTCGACGAATCTGGTGCTCAACTTGTGATTGTTTTAGCTGGCTCTTGAAAAGTACTTTCAATGCCACTATATGATTGCTCTGCTCCAATAATAAGCAAATTAGTAAAATTCTCAAAATCCACCATTAGGCCAAGATCTTGTCAAAGGGATAATAAATAAAGGTGCATTTAACACCAATCACAGTGTACAAAAATGGAGGATGAGGCAACAAAATTAAATCAAACATGACTATGCTAATGACAGGTAATTGATAATAGACTCAAATTTGGTGTTTTTTCAACTTGTGATGTCAAAGAAGCAAATCCTTGACAGTTTCAATACAATGCGATCGCGATGCAGTTATGCAGCCGAGATTCGATAACTTATGTATACCCTCCCATTTACATGCCACCGTGATGGGGTGATGCGGCCGAGATTCAATACCATAGTTTGAAGCAATAGCCTAATATAAAGTTATGTGGATTTTCTTTCATCATCATTTCTTGAAATTAGCTTATTTTAGTTATTATTCACACTTGTTTTGAATTAAGATTAGATCATCATATATCGAGGTTAGATTAAGTCTATGCATTATCATTCAATTTAGACATACAACAGAAACATTACAACTAAAACTTCCTACTTGAAAAAAAAGGAGCAAGATTAAATGGCATACTCTCTTCTCTCTTGCCAAGTAGACATGACCGAACTTCCCTCGACCAAGCGGCTTTCCGATATCGAAATCGTTTAGCACCCACCGTTGCTTCTCCGCTGCAGGAACCTCTGCAGATGCCTGAATAAACTCACACAGATACACACATTCAGCACCCAAAAAAAAAAAAAAAAAAAAAAAATCCATAAACCTCAAAATTCCAGACTTCCTAAACTAGATATCAGTCAATTCATCAAAATCGACCAATCGAAGTGGAAATTAGCAAATCACAACGAAATCGAAATGAATATAAGCATGTCAAAGAATCAAGTGCAGATTTTCGCACATTGCATAGAATCAAACGGAAAGATGAATTTGAACTCATCAGCAATAAATCTTCATTCTATAGATTCAATAAATACATCGAATTTCAAAAATTATCGCCAATTTTTAATTCAATTTCTGTACTAAAGAATGAACAAATCGAAACAAAGAAACAAAATTAGCACCAGAAATTAGAAACTATACATTTGAAAATTTAGCATCAATTTCTGCAAAACCCTAGCATCATCTCAAGCAAATCAAAAATCACCAATTGTTTGTCAAACAAAAATATCCTAATTTCACAATTCAAGAACAAATTCAA